TTCCATCATGGCTGGAGCCTGCTGTATTTATTTTGACTGCTCTCCAAATCGTAGAATCCTTCCCCATCCCTGAGTCCCAGCTACCAGAGCTCCATGGCCACCTCTCAAACCCACCCCACATTGCAGCAGTCATCTTTCTAGAGCATCCATCTCATTAGATCAGTTCCCTGCCTTAGAAACTACTCAGGATCCCCCAGGGCCTCTAGAACAATGACCAAACTCCTGGGCAAGTGTCACAGACCCTCTGAGATGCTCTGCAGTAGCCTTTCCGACCTATGCATTCCCTGCCCTCCAGGCTTCAGCCAGCAGGCACCACACATTGTCAATCTCTTCTCTGTCCAGCAAACTCCTATACATCCTTCAATACCCTACTCATTTGTTCCCTTTTTGTCATTCTATCCCTAATAAACTCTGGTTGTTCTGGTGGCTTCTTTTCCTCTGTTCACGTGGCCCTTGGTAGCAAAGTGCTGGAGTCCTGAATGAGGCAGAGGTTGTATGCTTGGGTAGCATGTGGGATGCAACTTGATTATGGTCAATGTTACTTTTGAAAAATCCCTTGAAAAGTTAAAGAAGCAAAGTGCTTAGAAGTGTGTATAGAATGCCCTTTTTTTATAAGGATGTGGGGCGGTGGTGGAAGCAAGAGGTATTCTTATTTGCTGGTGTTTGAACCAGAGAAATAATAGTGTTTACTTGGATCCTGGGTGGGGGAGAGGGTAGGAGGTGGGTAACAAGATTTTACTGATATGCATTTTTATGTTGTTTGGAATTTTGAACCACATGAATATATTTACTATTTAAAAGAAGGAGGGGGAAATGAAAGGAAGGAAGGAAGAAGGGAGGAAAGAAGGAACAAAGAAGAAGGAAGGGAGGGAGGGAGGAAAGAAGGAAGCGGAAAGAGAATACAAGCTCCCACAGGAAGGTCCCTGCATTTCAGTCTTCCACTGCTGCCTCCAACCTAGATGGAGGCAGGTTGGATCAACAGAGAAGCTTCGGGCTTTCATTTCAGGCCCATCACGTATGAAAAATGTGAATCATTAGCAACCGAGATCCCATCCAGTGTGGCAAGATGCCACACTCAGGGAATGATTTCAGGGTCTGAGGCAACAGAGTCCCAACTCCCACTTCTCTCCTTCCTCCTAGGTGCTCGTTCACTGAGGGATATACTGGGTTCATTGTTCTTTTTCTTTCTCTTTTGCTGCTGAGTAGAGACATTTAAGTTCCTGTGGTTTAAAATATGCCCATGATGCGCCCCCACTGTGCAGTGCAGTGGTTTCACCTTGGGGCTTTGGAGTCAGGTAGAAAGTCGTACTACTTGCCAAGCTGTGTGACCTCTGGCTTATCACTTAACCTCTCTGGTCTGGGCCCCAGTTTCTTTATGAATTAGAAAGGATACTAACTTCTCAGAGAACTCTTATGAGGATTATAAGAAATAATACATGCTTGGCACATAGTAAGTGCCACTCACTGTCATCTTTATCACCATCATCGTCACCACCGCCACACCCATGGGATATACTGCAGTTACTGATCCCTGTGTCTGTCTCCCTCAGGGAAAGCCTGGGTTTCATTCCTCTCTGTGCCCCAAGGCCAGCATAGAGTCTGTTGCCTATGGTGCCCAGACTGTTAGTTATCCCATCCCTGAGTTTAGCATCCGAGCACCCAGCAGGTACCTGTGCTGCTGGTGGACAGGCAGGCTGGTGTCTCCAGATCTCAGAGCTCAGCTGGTGCTCTGTAACCAGCAGTGTGGCTCCAGGGGGTACAGAGACAGGTTTCTGTCAGAAGTGCCATGGTTAATGCTCAGACTCTGAAGTCCGATGGCATGTATCGAAATCCTAGCACTGCTGCTTTTTAGCTGTGCGACTTGGACATTTTACTTAACCTCTCTGGGCCTCAGTTTTCTCACCTATGAAATAGAGTTGATGTGAGAATTGGTGGTCTTCACCCTCTTCTCTTCACAAGCTGGGCCACCCTCTACCTTGAAAGTCACCCAGTTTCTTGCTGTCTTTGCTTATGCGATGTCTTCAACTTGGAATGCACATTCGTCTCCACTCCCATAGCTAACTCCTACCCATCTTTTATGACCCAGCTCAGCATCACTTCCCCAGAAAGCCTTCATGCTGGCCACCCTCCAGCAGGGACAGGGGCTCTCTTGGGCCCCATGCGTTCCCTGTGCCTCACTTTTTCCCTGTGCTCACAGAGCTGGAAAATTGCTGGAACGCCTCCATTTCAGATATAGCCCCTCCTCCAAATCAGTGTTTCTGAAATTGGGATTCAGCTCCCCATCCACTTAACATCTTTGTTTTTCCTCTCCCAGATCCTTGAGGTATATATAGGGTAAGGTCTCTAAAGTGTGTGTGTTAATCACTTAGTTGTGTCTGACTTCTTGCGACCCCATGGACTGTAGCCCACCAGGCTCCTCTGTCCATGGGATTTCCCAGGCAAGAATACTGGAGTGGCTTGACATTCCCTTCTCCAGGGGATCTTCTCACCCAGGGATCGAACCTAAGTCTTCTTCATTGCAGATGGATTCTTTATGATCTGAGCTACCAGGGAAACCAGGTCTCTAAAGAGTGGAGGGTAAAGTGTGCAGGGCTTCCCTGGTGGCTCAGTGGTAAAGAACTTGTCTGCCAATGGAAGAGACGCAAGTTTGATCCCTGGGTCAAGAAGATCCACTGGAGAAGAGAATAGCAACCCACTCCATCATCCTTGCCTGGAGAATCCCATGGAGTAGAGGGTAAGCACACCTGATTATGATGGTGGCTCCCCTGCCAGGCTTTCACTCCTTCTGGTCAGTGCGGGATGTCATTCATCCCAGCCTCTTCAGTCCCAGCTCAAGGTCTGACTCTGTAAGGAGTGGTCTGAGTGCCCTGGAGGCATAGAGATGGGGGAAGGGTCTTCCCTGGGAGGAGCTCCCCTCACCCAGCCCAGGAGCAGGAGGGCTTGTGGGTCACAACATCAGCCCTCAGAAAGTCCCTGCCACGTGCGACCCTGGGGGTCCCAGGCTGCCTGAAGGCTGGGAGAGAGCAAGAGAGACATGTCTCAGAGTTTCCCAATTTCTCTGAGACTGGTGTGTGTGTGTGTGTGTGTGTGTGTGTGTGTGTGAAGGAGGGGCCTGAGGATGGGGAGGTGGCTTCGGAGAGAAAAGAGGGAGAACACAGAGGTGGACCCCAAGGGACGAAGCTGGGGAGGGGTCGGGGCCAAAGTGTGAGTCGGCCACTAACTCTCTGAGTGACCCTGGACAAGTCCTTTCCCCTGGCAGGGCTCAACATCCCCACCGGTGAAATGAGAGTGAGACAAACCTCCTGCAGCACCAACCTGCTATGACCCCATGAAGACCACGAGAGGGGTCTTCTCATCCCCTCCTTCTTCTTTCACAGAGATCTCTCTCCTCTACTGGTAAATCTACCCATTAGATTCATCTATTTTCAGTAGGGAACATCTATTGCCAAGCTTCTAACCCTTGCCACCACCTATGTGGTGCCTTCTGATACTGTGGACACTTTGCAGATGAACTTCATAGCAAAGGCTCAGAGATGTTGAGTGACTTGCCAGAGGCCGCAGTCAGGACAGTGTGGAGCCAGGATTTGAACCTTGGCTGTCTGCCAAAAAAAACTTTCTACAAACCGACCTGGGAGTCTGACCCCACCCACCCCAGCACTGGCTCCTCCCCTAGGAATCCCCCGCCGCCCCAGAAGGGTTGGAGGGCCTGAAGAGGAGGCCCCTTCACAGCAGCAACCACATCCTGTGACGGTTGCCCTGGAGAGTGCCAGCTTTCTCTGCACCTCTGAGACAAGTGAACAGAAAACAGGCCTGCCCAGTCCCTCAGTGCAGGAGCCTGAGTGGCCTTCTGCTCCGTCCCCCGGCTCTGGGAGCACGCAGAGAAAATCTGACCCCCAGCAGAGGGGGTCTCCCTGAGGCAGAGCTGGGCATTGACCGGTGCAGCTGGGGTAACACCTCAGCCTCTGAGCAGCCTGGGATCCATGCCTTTTCCAGGCAGGTCTGAGATAAAATCTACTCGTCCTCCCCTGCCTCAGAAGCTCTCAGAAGCCAGATCAAAATGTCCCCCTGGCCCCACTGATCCAGGGCTGGTTGGCAGATCAGGGAGGAGGGTGGTATTGAACTCACAGGCATCTGTCCATCTCCTCCAGGAGAGCAGGCTCTGTGCCTGCTATACCCCTAGCACTTTTCACGGTGCCGGGCCACAGTACATTTCCAATTTGTCCTGACATTTCCACCTCAATGGACAGAGCTGCCCCCACCCAAACACACAACACACACAAACACCTACACACATACACACACAGCCTGAGTTCTGTGGGTTCAAGGACTTGGCACTGCACGCCCCAGTCTCATTCAGCAATGAGTTTAATCTTGGGATACTCAGAACAGGACACCAGAAGCTAGCTCTGAGCCCTCAAACCTCTCCCTGGAGGCTGCCTGGACGCGTTTACAGCTCCAGGAGGAACACTGATGACAACGTTCATCGGAAACGCTCCCATCAATCCAAGCAGACAGGTGGGGACCCAGGGCCTAGTGCAGCCTCCAGGCCCCTCCTGAAAGACGTTTCTGTGCTTCTGCCCCCACGGGGGCTGGGGCCCACTCTGGGCCTCTGGGGATAGGGGTGGGGGTGGGGCCTGGATGGGACCATCTTTGTAAACTGTAGGACGCTCAGAGTAAGGATCCGGTGTCCAGGGATGGTCACTGCAGAACAGGGCTGTGTCCCTGATGGGCTCCAAGCATCTCTAGAGGCAGGGCTGGCCTCTAGCCCCAGCCCCAGTGGTTGGGGAGGGGCAGCCGTCCTGATTGCTGTCACTTAGCTGTGCTCAGGATGGCTGGACTCCTTGCTGATGCAAGTACCAAGCTGAGCTTAGCCTGTATCAGCTGCTGCCCGCCTCCCCAAGCCCCAGAACCCACCTGCCAGAGCAACACCAGCCCAACAGCTCCTGCACATGAGGCTCCCCTGCCCCCAGCAGTACCTCTGAACCCGAGTTGTCAGACAGTCAGGCAACCAAAACCCCAGACATACGAGAACTGGAAGGGGCCCCAGGAATCATCCAGTCCAGCCCTTCCACATGGCCTGCCAAGAAGTGGCCCAAACTCTGCTGCTTGCTCACCCCCGAAGCAAAGAGCTCACTACCTCTCAGAGGTGGTGCCTGTGCTGTGGGGCTGCTGTTTGGGTTGGAGGAGGGCTGTGCTGGGAGGTTCTGTTGATGGGTGGAGGCTGAGCCATAAGAGGTGTGGAGTTTCTTTTCCAGTCTCCAGGGGAGGACTATCAGCCCTGGGGCGGGGGGATGACTGGGGAGGATGGGGGTGGAGTGGGGCATGGAGCAGAGGGATTTGGCAGAGCAGGAGGCTGGTGAGAGGGAGCACACAGAGCTGAACCCGGGCTAGGCCGCTCCGATGTCGTCGTATTCTTCATTGGAGGAGGAGTCAGGCTGGGGAGCGCGGGACCCTGTGTGACAGGGAGGCTCAGGTCAGCGAGAGGCCCAGTCTTGCCCCTGCTGAGCAGGGACAGAGCTGAGTGGATCTGGACCCACCTCCTTCTCCCCCATGATGCTATATGAGACCATCTTATCATCTTGTTCATGATTACTGCCCTCAATAGAATGTCAGTCCTGAAGGCAGAGTCTTGTCTTGTAGAGCAGGGCTGTGGTCCCCAAGTGCTGGGAGCTGCTCTGTGACCACCATCTCTCCCGTGGAGCCATCTGGCTGCTTCTGCTTGAATGCTTCCACTAATGGGGAGCTCACTTCCTCTCAAGTTAGTCTCTTTGAATCTCTCTCCATCCCACCTTCATTCATTTTCTCTACCTCCTCAAATTCTTTTTTGTATTAAAAAAAAAACTCACTCTTTTTCTTCTTTTCCCCTTGAGCTGATGTATGCAGAGCTCCCCATTCATCCACCCTCCAGTCCCTCTCTGTGCCCCCTCCCAGGATCCCTCCTCACCCCCGCCACTGGCACCTGGACATCCAAACTGCTCAGCAGGAAGAGGCTGGGGCGGCAGCTGGTAGTTCTGGTACCACTCTCCAGAGGAGGTGCTGGAGCTGTCATCAGCTGAGGGCCCTGCTGGAAAACCCCAGAGCCAGTCACCCTCTGCCAGGCTAGTTCACAGAGTGCCAGAGCTAGAAGGCCCTCAGGACTCGGTACAGTCTTTAGCTTGACAACTGAGGAAACAAAGGCCCAGAGAGGGCGAGAAACTTGTCCACGGTCACACAGCAAGTGGCTGCTGAGCGGGGACTAGAATCCTGAACTCAGCCTGGCTCAGGGCTTCCAGCTTTACACTTCCTCCGGTCAGGTCTCATATAGGATAGGAGGCTGGAGGAGGTACACAGTCCTGGGCCTGCCTTACCTGGAATAGTTGCCTGGGAGCCAGCCAGCTCCAAGTTGGGGGCCTGCTCCAGGAGGGGGTTCTTCTCTGATGAAAACACTTGAGAGTTCCATAGAGGTCGCTTGCTGTTGGGGCTATTACAGTACACCTCCCCCGAAGATGTGCTGGAGCTGCTTTTGCTCCTTGGAGGATGTGGAGGAGGGCCCAGGGAGGGAGGGTTTGTAATGCAGTGTTCAGGGTTGGCAGGTAGGACCTCGGAAGCATGCACTTCTTCCAGTCCTGGGCCTGAAAGAGAGAGTGGTGATCAAGAAGATGCAGTGCAGCAAGAGGGCTTTAAGTTAGACCTGAAAAAGAACTTACTCCCAATTGAAATTGTTTAAAGTCAGGAAGGACCTGTTGAGGGAGATTGCACTGATGCTTCTCGAGGTGAGTGAGCTGATAGGTCCGGAGGCAGTGCTGGCATCCTAGTCACTTCCCTCCCTCCACATCTCTCCCCAGGCTGACTCACCTTCCTCCAGGGGGGGCATCTGGAACCTGTTCTGCTGGGCCTCCTCCTCTGTGAAGCGGTGCCGCTGGGAATCTATAAGCAGAGGTGGCAGTGAGGAAGGAGGTGGGGAAGCCTCCACCTCCTTGTCCAGAGGAGCCCAGAGCAGAGGTTGGTGTTTTGTGGGATTTGGGAGGCTGAACAGGGCAGGAGGACCACCCTGACTTATGGAGGGGCTTAGTCTCATTCATCAGATCCCAGGCTCACATCCTAATCCAGGCAGACCTTGAACCTCAATCTTAAACCAGCCCGGGGACAGGCTGCTTCTGGCCAGAAAGTAGAGCTTTCCCAGAGTGGAAGCCGAAGGTCTGGAATCTTTGCATTCTGGGCTGTGGTACCTCCATTTCAGAATCAGAGAGATGCAGATTCATAGCATCTTAAGGACTTGAGTGTCGGGAATCTGGGAGTCAGCTCTTTTAAATGTGTTACTACTGACTTTTAGTCTTGGTGTCATATTAATAGCATTTTGGACTGCCAGTCTTGCATCTTACAAGACTGGGCTCAGACTCTCAGATTCTAAGGACACTCATCTCTGTGGTTCCCCAAGGCTGCTCCATGGCCCCACAGACTGGAATCATCCACATTGCCCCTCCAGAGGCCCTGGTTCAGCCGGGGGTCATGGGGGAGGCAAAGATGGCTGCTGTCCCCAGTGTCCATCCTGCCCACCACGTAGTAAGAGATCTCTGGCCTTCATCTGGACACTCAGCTGCCCAGGACAAGAGCTTTGTCTCCCTGCCTCTCTTGTAGCTGCTAGGTTAAAGTTTTGGCAGGTGGAAAGTGAGTGGGAGCTGTGTGGGTGTCCCTGGCATGCTGCCTTACAGGCGGGGCACGCCTTACCTCCCCCATTCCCTCGGTCTAGAATGCAGACATGGCAGTGAGCCACTCTGGACCGTGAGGACAGGGCAACGTCTTAGGGACTGCAGAGCAGCCAGAAAGGAGCCTGGGCCCCTCCAGCTTCTCCGGATGATGTCATTTGGAGGCTGTGTCCCACACAACCAAACTCTCATCCTAACTTATAAAGTAGGTCCCGGGTGGGGCTCAGGAAGTTTTGATGAGCTCCCAAGGGATTCACGATGGCTGTGAGAGTCTCTGCTTTCCTCCGACCTCCTTGCATCTCGTGTGCCCTGTCTGAGCACTGTCTTTCCTCCTCCTACACCCCCAGCAGGCAGAGAGCGGAGCTGGAGAAGCCAGCTAAGGGGTGCGAGCTGGGCTCATGGTGGAGGTGGGAGAGGAGGTGAAATTGATGGAGCAGAATGGGACACAGAAGGGGTGTGAGCGAGCAAGAAGCCATCTGAACCAGAGTCCCTCATATCGTACAGAGATGCAGCCACATTTAGGTGAATGTTGACAGACTGACTTTAAGACCCTGCGTGGTCACAAACACCAGAGAAAAGGTGGTCCAAGGGGAAATGCCTTGAGATGTCTCCAGGGTCACAACACACTTGGAAAACCTCAATGCAGGACCACGGAGAGTCAGTCCAGTGATCACAACAAGGGAGGTGCCACCCTTGACATGCAGGAGTCACTGGGGGGGAACCTACTGCAGTTCCCCAGCCAGCTGGGCCCTCTCCCTGGAGCGGGCAGGCGGGCCCTCAGGAGTTGGGCCCAGGCACTCACTGTAGAAGGTGGTCAGGGCCACAGGAGGCTGGGTTCTGAAGTCATAGTGCTCATAGTCTGAGTCCGAGCTGGAATTCGAGTCTTCGGGGGGCGGGGCCTGGACCTGGATGGGCAGCTTGGGAACTGGGGAGAGAACAGAGTGGGGGCATGGCAAGGCAGGGGACAGAAAGGAGCAGAGAGAGGCGGCAGACAGCATGGCTTTTGGGGACCGGAGACGGAGGGGCGGGGAGCATGCCAGGCAGCCCACCTTGTGCAAGACTGTCAGGCCCGGGTTGTCTAAGCTCCCCCCATCTATTTCAAACACAGGGAACTAAATAACAATTTTTTTTTAATTTAACAAGCACATAGTAGTCACTACATGCCAGGCCCTACTCCAACATTTACAAATATTGAGATGTCCAAAAAGTTCGTCCGGGTTCTTCCATAAGATCTTACAGAGGGCTTCCCTGGTAGCTCAGTGGTAAAGAATTCGCCTGCCAATGCAGGAGATCGTATGGGAAAAAACCCTAATGAACTTTTTGGTCAACCCAATATTATCTCATTTAGTGCTCGTAATAACTCTGTGAGGCAGCTACGTTAGGGTCCCCATTTTACATCTGGGGAAACGGAGGCACAAAGAGAGTCTCACATAGCCCAGAGAAGAGGCAGTGTGGCTCTTAACCTCTAGACCATAATATTCAGTGAGTGGCTGCTCTGGGCTTACCCTTGTGCTAGGTTCTGTGTTCATATTCTCTTCTCAAATATATGGATCCTGTGTGCAAAGAATCTTTATAATATTTGTCTGAGTTTTGTATTGATTTTGTGTCATTGAACTCTTTCAAATAAAGGTGATTTAATACATTCATAAAGCCATGAGATTAAACTCAAACTCCTTCACAAGACTTTCAAGAGATATACATCAGTATATCATTAAAGATGGATGACTGATTCCTTTTTTTATTTGGAAAATATGAAATACAGTTATGTTCCAGGAATACTTTGATGGGGCTTTACAGACAGGCTGATTCTGGGCAGACTATTAGAAGAGGTGATGATGTCACAAACCTACTGGCCAATTAGCAGAACACAGCTCTCCTTGAGAACTAAGATACAAAATGCCTTGGGCCTGTTTTGGTCCAGAATTCAAAAGCCTAGAGCTCTAGGATGAGTGCACTGGAAGGTCCTCTGCCCATTGAGGCCCAGACTGAGACTGGACTTGCTCAAGGTCCCTTGAGCATGCATGGGCTGGTCCAGCATTCTTCTCCAGCTGGGGCACTGCTTTGACCTAAGCAGTACTGACCCTCCAGAAAGTATTCCCTTTTTGTTCTCCCCTGCCCTCCCCACCCCCAGGGCAGGCGACATCCTACCTTCTTTGGTGATGGTGATGGGGACCTCTTGATAGTTTTCCATCCCTGCCGGGGTGGTGGTGGGTGAGTGCTGGTGGTTTACCACAGCGGGGAGGGCTGAGAGAGGAGAGGCAGAGATTCTGCAAGTCACTTTTTGTGCCTTTCCAGTCTTCCTGGTTATGTTCTGATAGAGACACTTCCCTACCCACCTTCCCTGCCCCCATATGCCCCTAAACACACACACACACAATGAGGTCCTCCCGTGGACCACTTCTGAGGGGCATGCTGGGAAAATCCTTCCCATCAGGAGGTGCTTCTTGGGACCAGGTATGGGTGGCCATTGCTGGATCACTTTCAGTCTTGCTGGCGACCCCCACGGCTCACGTCCCCCTGGGAAGACTGTGCCTCAGGTCTGCTTGTTTTCATCCCTGGGTCTTTCCTGTGGCTCCCAGGACTCTGCACCTACCGTATTTTCCTTTAATTCTCAAGAGGATGATGGCTATGAATACGAGTGAGACAAGAAGGAGAACTCCCAGAATGATGCAGGGGATGAGGAGCATTAGTTCTCGAGGTTCCCAGTCCTTCGTTTTCACCATCACAGAAGATTCTGGAAGAAAGAACCCCAAATCAGGGAGAAAGAGGAATGGACATGGAGTTCTCCTTGTCTGTCTCACCTCTCCTTCCTCTCTGCACCTGACCCACTTCCCTTTCGGACCTCTCCTCTTCCCCGCTTCTTTTTTTTTCCAATTTTCCCATCTGCTTTTTGTGCCTGGTATATAGTGTGTGTTCAGTCATGTCTGACTCTTTGTGACCCCCTGGACTATAGTCCACCAGGCTCCTTGGTCCATGGGATTTTTTAGGCAAGAATACTGGAGTGGGTTGCTATCTCCTCCTCCAGGGGATCTTCCCAAGTGAAGTTGCTCAGTTGTGGCCAACTCATTGTGACCCCATGGACTGTAGCCCGCCAGACTCCTCCTTCCATGGGTTTCTCCAGGCAAGAATACTGGAGTGGGTTACCATTTCCTTCTCCAGGGGATCTTCCCAACCCAGGGATCGAACCCAAGTCTCCTGAACTGCAGGCAGACTCTTTACCATCTGAGCCACCAGGGGCCCCCAGGATCTTCCTACCCCAGAGATCAAACCTGCATCTCCTGCGTTTCCAACATTGGCAGGCAGATTCTTTATCACTGCACCACCTGGGAAGCCCGTCTAGTATATAGTAGGTGCCTGAGAAATGCATACTGAATGAGTCATTGAATGAAACTTTCTCCTGGCCACCAGCCCACATGGATCTGTCTCTGCTCAATAATCACTGAGCACCCACAACATGCCAGGCACTAGACCTGGGCAGACAAATAGGACAGCAGTGTCACAGGCCTTGAGGGTCTCTGTCTCTGTCTAACGGGAAGATGGATGGACAAGCTGACTCAGTCCAATTCAGTGAGATGCCTGGTGTGATGAAGGTACGGACAGGTGTGCATCCCTCCAAGGGACACTGATTCTCTGTGGGTTAGACCAGGGCTGGATTCCCAGAGAAGGTGGCTCTGAGCCTCTGCAGGCAAGGAACAGATCACAGGAGAGAGAGAGATCTCCTTCCCTTGGCCCAGATGCAACCCCCCTACTGGAGCTGCACTCCCTGAGGGCAGGGGTGAGGGCCAGAACTCCAGACCTTCCGGCCCTGAAGCCCTGGTGTGACTGCTGGCCTTCCCCTCCCTCCTGACCCCACCCCTGCTGAAAATAACGCAGAGCAGAGAATGGATGGAGGCCACAGTGAAACCCTCACCCTCATCACCCATGCTCCTGCTCAGTGCAGAAGGCCTGGGGTATGCAGACTTCAGGGCTGGAGGAAGGGAGGTGACAGTAACATGGGAGGCTGGGGGGATGAGCTCACCCAGGCCCCCTGACTCACAGCAGTGTCTGCTCCCCCTAGGAGGATCACCCCTCTCCCCATCCTCACTTTTTGCCCTCCTCTTGAAAATGGAGCAGTTTGGGCCAGGGTGGGAACTGGATTTAGCAGCAGAAAGAAGGTGCAAGGGAAATACTAGGCTGGGGGTCTGGGGGAGACCTGTGAACATGAGCCAAGAGGGTCAGAGGCTGAAGGAGGGGCTGCTGGATCATGGGCTGGAGTGTGATCCTTGGAGAATAGGTCTCCAGAAGTGCTTTGCTCCTCTGAGGGCAGCGTGGTCCCCTACCCCAACCTCAGGAATTAAAAGTGTGAGAGGGTATGTTTAGGGGTCCTGACAGGAGTTCACCCTAAAGCTTTTCATTTCCACTCTGTGCCCTCATCCATCGCCAGGTTCTCTGGCAGGACTTGGTGGCCTTCTGTCCCCTCCCCACGCTACCCACCGCCTCTGGAGAGGATCTGAAAGAGGGAGCCAGAAGCAGAGGGAGGGGTAAGCCTATGAATGAGGACTGACCCCTGTGCTTATCCTGGGGCTTCCAAGGGGCTCCACGCCTGGACTGAATCAATAAACAAGAATAACTGATGCCCAGGCAATGCTTACTGTGTCCTGAGCCCTGTTGTGACGTGTGCTCTTCACCGGAGACTCACAGCAACAATGCTAGGTGAGAAGTACTGTGATTCTCATCCTCATTTTGTAGTCTAGGATCTGAGGCTCAGAGAGGTTAAGAATTGCGCAGCATCACACAGCTAGCAAGAGGTACAGCTGAGGGTTGGACCCCAGAAGTTGATTCCCGAGATGGCTAAGCTACACACAGCTGGAGGACAGACCAAGTGTATTCGGAGTTCAGAGCCTCAGATGCAGGTTCCAGGCAACAGTGGCAGGCTGGCAACCCACCCTCTGAGCCTGAGCTGCTTCTTCTGTGTAAGGGTCGCGGGAAAACCTCCCCAGGGGGCTGCTGGGAGGATTAAAGGGTTGGGAAATAATGACTGTAAAGCCCTGGCCAGTGCCCAGAACATTATAAACACACTGGCTGCTACCCTCGGTGTCCCCACTCTCTGGCTGGTGTCAGATCAGCTCTGACTCTCTCCAGCTCTATCCTCCTGCCCTACACCAGCTCACGGAGAGTGGGAAGAGGATTCCTGTCCATGGAATGGTCAGGATTCAGGGAACTGTGGAGCTGACATGCAGAGGCAGGTGAGTGAGCAGAGCACAGAACATCCAGAGAGCCCAAGGACAGTTGGGGAATCAAGTTCATTGTCTGGAGGTGGGGGATAGGGGACAGACCATCAGACCCCTTTCTCAGACACACACACACACACCATGCATGCATGCACCCAAGCTTCTGAAAAACTGCCCCCAGGGATACTCACCCACAGTGACCGGCTGACCACTTGCAGGGACTTCAGTAGTGGACAGATTGAGCAGACTCCGGGCACCTGTTAGAAAGCACCGCTCATTCACTCAGCACATGCACCCAAGCACCTGGGTGGCTGGCCTTTGTGCTAGAAAGTGGACAGGACAGACAAGTGGCCTAAAACTGGGGGCGTGTTCCCACCGGGGCACATGGCTGAGTCCCACACTCCACAATAAAGAGGATCTGATGGATTAAAGGCAAGGATGATTCTTTGGTTAAAATAAAGGGCTAATGAAAGAATTAGCCTTTCCTTCTGTATAACCTGCTAGAGAACACAAATATTTCCATCTTGTATTGAATTTGTTCTTCACACCTGCCTCAGGAAGTGGGAAGCTGACAGTCTCATCATTATCATAATCATTTGACTGGTAAGGGAGGGGGCTTACAACATTCCATAGTGGATACTGTCTGATTTCCTAGCTACTCTGTGAAGTGCCTGGTATCAACATCTGCATATTCATGAATGAAGCCTCCCAGCTGGTAATTAGCAGAGCCGGAATTCATAGCCTGGTGTCTGAACTCCACAGAGATGCTGACACTGTGTTTGTTCAAGTCTAATGCTTTTGCTTCTTCACATTTTAACACCTCGGAAATAGGGGTGGTAATATCAATCAATTCAATTGATGGCACATCAAGAGTTTATTTTGGCAGCATTTTTGTCCCGGATGGTGCATAAAAGAATAACAGTGTGAAAGTGAAAGTTGTTCAGTCATGTCCAACTCTTTGCGACCCCATGGACTAGTCCCTGGAATTCTCCAGGCCACAATACTGGAGTGGGTAGCCATTCCCTTCTCCAGCGGATCTTCCCAACCCAGGGATCAAACCTAGGTCTCCCTATCGCAGGCAAATTCTTTATCAGCTGAGCCACAAGGGAAGCCCAACAATACTGGAATAGGTAGCCTGTCCCTTATCCAGTGGATCTTCCTGACTCAGGAATCAAACCGGGGTCTCCTGCATTGCAGGATTCTTTACCAGCTGAGCTACCAGGGAAACCCAATAATAGTGTGACTTATGATCAATGCCATCTTAGACTCGGTGAAACCCAATTCATAGAGCAGGTAGGAGGCTTTGCTGAAATACATACCAAGTCCCCAGGAATGCCTGGCATCTGATTAGGGCTCCAGACACTGTGACTAATATTATTAGTGTCTTCTAATTTATTTTTATGGTGATCACCAGCCCTAGGATGGCAAATTGGTTTCACTTCCTGAGCCAACTCCAGTCACTAGGGAACACTGCTTCATATATAATAATGCCTTAATAAAGATTGGATTCATGATTCCAGGGCTGTGTCAAGGATCTGGGTAAAAGAATACGCTGGTCAATACCATGTACCCTGGGCATGGTGAGGGCCACGGTCCCTCTTATGACAGTATTTGCCATTCCTGATCTAGCCCAAGCTCTAGTCCTTGGGCTACAAGTTCTTAGGCTGTGGATTCAGATGGAGTTCCAGGGGATGGGGGAGTGGAGTGGAGAGGAAGAGGAGGGGTACCTGAGCAGAGGACCCTGGCTGCCTGGGACTGTCTGCAGAGGTTGGAGTTGTTGAACCGCCAGAAGCATTTGGAGAGAGTGGACTCCCTTCCCTTGCATGAGTAGTACATCTTGCCCGACAAGGAGTGGGGCAGCCCCTTGGGCACCCGGGCCACGGTCCCACAGCCCAAGTCCTGGCAGAGCACGTTGGCCTCTGAGTCGTACCACTCACTGTCACACACTGTGTTCCAGACCCCTCGGAAGTACACCTCCACCTGCCCCTCGCAGGGGTCAGTGCCCCCGGTCAGGCGCCAGGACTGGTGCTCTGCAGGGGGTGGGGGGGGGTCAGAGTCAGGTCAGGATCCTTTGGGTGGAAACCCCCAGCAGCCCTGACCTATGGATGCAGACTCCCCAGAGCCAAGGGGTCTCCAGATGCTTTCCCTTCTGCCTCTGCACGCCCCTCTCGTCTGCCCCATCTGCTCTGGCTGACCCTGTGCCGTCTACATCTCTGCTGCTCAAAGCGTGGTCCAAGGACTGGCAACTTCAGTATCCCCTGGGACCCTATTAGAAATGCAGACTTTAAAGCCCTGCCTCAGACCTACTGATTCAGAATATACCTTGGACAAGATCGCTCTTGCCTCTCCATTCTCGGGCACAAGAAGAGAAGCCCTGGCTGGACCAGAACTTCCAGTCCTCATCGGGGGGCTGCTGATGACCTCCTCAGGACCTCCCTGCCTCTAGCTCCCCTTGCTGCACTGAACCAGGTGACCAACTCTCGCTCAGGAAGAGCCTCATCTCTAATGTCACCCACTCCAGGAGGAGGGCAGGTTTCACCCTCCAGCTCTGCACTGTCTGCTGCCTCTTAACTCCACCTGGTTGCCTTTCTTAGGTCATGTGCCACTCTCTCTCCTGGATTATGTTTGTTTGGGTCTCACCTTCCCTTTGGACTGGGACCTCCCGCGGGCAGGGTGGGTCTCTCCAGCACTCACGGAGGCCCAGCAGGCCTACAGTGAGTCCTGGATGACCCTGGTTCAGCATCGCCCACTCACCTGAACACACCACTCCAGCGTCCTCCTTGTGGCCACAATACCCATTTCCGGGCAGCCCCGGGCAGTCCCACAGGTAAGTCTCCAACCCGCTGCAGTTCACTTGGTCCCGGTGGATGCGTCCTTGGCCAGGGGCAAAGTGCAAGCCGGGCAGGGCCTGGACGGCCCAGCCGCAGCCCAGCTGCCGGCACACCACGTGAGCATCCTCCAGGTCCCACGTGTCGTCACACACCGAACCCCACTGGCCGTGCTCCAGCATCTCCACTCGGCCCTCGCATGGGCTGCCACCACCCACCAATTTCAAATCGCGTTTTTCTGGGGATGGGAGGAGAAGGGGTTTGGGGATGGGAGGAAAGAGGGAGAGGAAGGGGAGGGGTGAGAGGATCGTCTGTCGGGACTGGGGATGGGAGTGGTTTCCCGGGGTTGTAGACCCAGTGAGAGGGGTTCGAGAAGACTGCCTGTCAAGGCTGGGGACCTCGGGTTGGGGAGCCAGCGGCAGGGGCTAGTAGCCTGGTGGGCGGTATTGAGGAATCTCCTCTCTGGGCCCCGGGCTAGTGGGTGGGGCTAGAGACCCAGTGGGCGGGGCCTGAAAAACAGGTCTGGGGCCTGGGGAGCCTAAGAGCTAAGAGATGCTGGGAACCTGCCTTGTTTAATGTAGTAGGGGCCTGGGGCCCTGCTGGCGCCGCAGGTGTAGGAACGAGTTGTATTTGCGTCGCTGGTGGGTGGGATTTCAGTTCAGAGGGCTATGCTTGGGCCCCAGGGGCCAGAACTGAGGACAGGAGGGAGGGGCAGAGGCCGAAGGTCTGAGAGGTGGGACGGGCAAGGGGCCTGGTGGCAGGTGCGGGTTGGTTCACTCGTACCTGTACAGCTGACCTGGGCCGGCCACTCTTCGCTGCGGCAGCCGCGCTCCACCACCTTGCAGCTCAGCCATTCGGGGCGGCTGCACTGGACCGCAGGGGCCAGGACCCACGTGGTGTTCTGCGCCCAGCTGGCGTTCCCCGCGGCTGCCCCGGGCGGTGGCTCCGGGGTCTGTAGGACCGGCAGTTCCAGCGGGTGAGCCTGGCCGCAGTCCAGCCAGCTGCACAGGGCGTGGGAAGTATCGAGCTCCCAGAGCACCCCGCACACGGGCTGCCACGACTGCCTGAACCAGATCTCCACTGTCCCGTCGCAGTGGCTGCTCCCATTCACAAGACGGACCTGGAGTCGCTCCCCTGGAAGCGCCAGACACCACCTGAACCTCGGCAGATGCTGATGCTGCCGACCCAGGGATGGAAATGGGGGGGGGGGGGGTGAGGGGAGTGGCCGAGGGCGCTACCAAGGATCTGCTGCGTGACCTTGGGCGGTCCCCTACCCGCTCTGGGCCTCAGCCTTCCTATCTGCAAAATGGGGGCTGGGCTGGCTCCTCCCCTGACCCTTTGGTCCTCCTTAGCATCAGGAGAGGGTAGGGCCGAAGGTGATTAGAGGTTAAGATGAGTTAGCCCTGGGGTGTCCAGTCCCCACAAACTCTTCTCTCTTGCCTCCGCCTCCAGAGTCACTTTGTGTGAAAGGAGGTTGTGGGCTCAGAGACACCCCCATCCCTCCTCCCCTCCCCCACCCCCACCTCCTCCCGGTACTATGGGGGCCATATTTCCCCTCCCAGGCTCCTCCACTATTTTGAGGGTACTACCAAGGAGGATGCGATCATGACCCCGGAGCCTTGAAGGATGGACATGGGGTTGATGATGGGGTTAAAGATGGGCCATTTCAGTGGATGGTGATTCCCTCTTCCCCAGAGCCTGCCTCCTGTTTCTGCCCAGGGTTGCACAAAACTCTGCACGAGTAGATCCTTAAACATCTGTTGAGTTAAACAAGGACCCATCTGATGGAACCCCACTACCCCTACCAAGAGTCCTTTAGCTTGTTCTCAACAAACCCTCTTTAAATGCTCACTGAATACTTCGCCCACATGTGCATGATTTTTGATCAATAGCCTCTCAAAGACAGTAGCACTTAGATCTCAAAGTGAATCTAGTGGTGGAACTTTAGGCATTGGGTCAGGAAGGAGAAGTGTTGTCTGAAGTTAGGGAACCTCCCTGGTACCATAAAAACCCATTTCCCTTTTCCATCACACCAGTAGACCACCTGCTTGGTCTCAGAAAACTGCCTATGAGCCCAGTAAGATCGTTCCTCACCTGGCTCCAAGGTCTGGCTCTCTGCACTGGTGGTGTTGGGCTGGTCAGATGGGGTCAGAGGTGGGTGACCTGAAATTAACCAGCAACAGCTGTGGTGTGTGAGTGAACTCCGGCCTGGGGAGGGCACACAGGTGAACAGTAGGGGCACTCACTGGAGCCTGAAGTGTCTACATGGGGCCTCTGCTAAGACAGGGCCCTCAACTTGTGGGCATTTACCTCCTTCAGGGCACGGAAATTCTCAGCACCCCCCACTTCATCTATTATTGTGCACACATGCTCAGAAATCAGAAGAGAGAGCAGAAAGGAACAACTGTGGCTTTGGGGCCAGACCCACTCACTGGCTGAGTGACCACAGAGGGGTTACTCACTGCTCTCGGCCAGAGTCCCAATTCACTTACAGTAACACTTAAGAAAGTATTGTAAGGCTAAAAGGAGACAATACCGGTAAAATACTTCACAAATATAAGTATTATTAGGAAAAACACTTTTGGCTTGAAAAATTCGTTTGAGAAATTCATACCAGACTTTAGGGAAGTTGGCACATCCTAGACTGAGAGGACTACGAAGTACCTTCACACACTGATAAACTAACATTTGCCGAGGGCCGACTATATGCCAGGTCTTTGCATACAGTATTTCATTTTCCTTCAATAAGACAGTGAGGTAGGTATTAGCATCCACTTTTAAGAAATTAGAGAAGGGAAGCCCAGAAAATAGAAATCAGTTGTCTGTGCCAGACTGTCGGTTTGTTCCTTCAGAACCTCTGTCCACTTTGCCCTGAGAGGCTGACCTGTTTGGACTAAATCAGCATCTCGTAGGGCCCTTGGGATTCTGTTGGGCTAAGCCAGTGGGGAGCCCCCCAGAGAGAGGAGGGAGGGAAGAAGTGAAGCCGTGAAGTCGTGGTGTTATCCTCCTGACTTCCTGCTCGTGCGATCCCTTGGGTAGCCTGATCCTTCATCTGAAGGTCATTGCTTATCTCCAGGGGCTCACCTCTGCTGACTTTCTCCTTCTGGATCTCATTGACTGCTCTGTGGTCTTGTCTCCTCTGGCTAAGGGTGGTGACAGCTCAGCTGCTCCAAGCACCTGGTTATCACATTATTCTTTCCAAATAAGACCACTTCAAACTCCTATTTTGAAGGTACCACCTGTTTCCTGTTGGGATGCTGGCTGATACATAGCCTGAAGCCACCCAGCTAGCAAGTGGCAGAGCCAGGATCTGAGCTGTCTTCAAGGAATGGGCTCCATGCTAGGCCGGGATATTCTGCTTTGCAGAAGCATGAAGGAGGGATATGGTTGGGACTGTGTGCTTACTAAGGAACTCCTCTATGGGTCCAGGTTCTCCTGCCCTTAGTTTGGAGCCCTTGATGTCTAGGCAGAAAGACATATGCCCACTGCCAGGCCAAGGTAGGTAAGAGTCAGTGAGCCTCCTCCATCTGTTTCTGCTCTGTTATGGCTGAATTAGAGATCCTGGGTTCCAGATTCAACCACAGGATGGAGGGGGGCTATTGACCCACTTTGAATTTTGTGTAAGTGAGGCTTTTTAGTGTTAAGCCACTTAGCGACTCAACAACAACTAAATGAAGGTTTTTGAGATGTATTTATTATCACAGCCTAGCCCAGCCTGGCCTGAATGATACAAGAGCTGAAGATTCAGGCATGACTGCTACACAATCTCGGCCTCATCTGAGACTATCCCATGGACTCACTCCTGGATAAGCATACACACCTGTGCACATGCGCGCGCGCGCACACACACACACATATGCATGTGTGTACCTGTAGACACAGCTTCCCTACAAACATCCGACAAGGCTACTCCATCACTCAGACAGAAAATAATCAGACCTTTAATTGCCTGTTCTCACCAACTCCCTGGTTGACTGCCTAGCCTGACCTCCTGAGGGTGAAATGACTCAGAATTCAGAGCACAGACTCTGCAGCTAATATCATAGTCGGAGCAAGAATTCAGATGCCCTCAAGTTAGAAGTTCAGAATCTCAGTTCCCACAGCAATGGTCCCAGCACGCCAGTGTAATTGTTATTTCTGTGTGTGCTGGGAAAGGGGGGAGGGGTTGGGGGAATTGGAATGCTGGCTGCAGTGCTCGTGTGTGTGATTGCAGTGTGTGTGTGTGTATGTGTGTATGTGGTTGTGGCAGTATGTGTACCCTAATGTGTATGTCTTTGCATGTATATATGAGTGTGTATGAGGCTGTAACTGTATGTGTGTATTAGGGGGGCTCTAGCTCACTTCTGTACACCTCTCTGTGGGTCTGAGAAAATATTTCTCATACATAAAGGCACACATGTTTTCAACTAGATCAGAAAACCCTGGAGGGCAGGGCCAAAGTCTGGGTCAGCCCCATATCCCCCAGGGTGCCCAACACAGTGTTTGTTGATTGACTGACTGAGTGAAACAGTGAGCAGGGGGTGTCAACTCCAAGGACAACTGTTGCCAAGGCAGTTTATTGATATCAGCGATACTCGATTTGTTTTCTGTGTCACGGGCATTTTCCTGTCCCTTATCCCAAGAAGTGATGCTGACTTTTGTGTTTGGACTTCTGTGCTGCAGAAACAAAAGTAGACATTACCTCTCAGCCTCCTTCCATCCAGGCCTCAGTTCACAGAGGGCCCAATGCAGGATCCTCACTTCCCAGACCTTGTTTCTGCCTATGTTTCACATTTTTCCATAAATTTGATTCACATTTTTGCTGCAATAAATTCATCTGAAAAGGAACCTTTACCCTGTCTTGAGAATTCACTTTACAATGCAAAGATGCCCGAATGTAAAAATATTCATTACAGTTTTTTGAACAGCAAACAATTGGAAGAAGTTAATGCCAATGTGTTGGGAAAATTGCAGAATAAATATGGTCCATTTACATCATGACATCTTATGCAGTCTTTGTAAAGAATAAAATAGACTTATACCATTTGGAGGGATTTCCATGGGAATTGGTATGATCATGTGAACATGGAGGAACGTATGGAGGAACACAGACCAGGTTATGAAAATGGGTAAATTAGAAAGGTGAGTGGAAATTCCCTGGTGGTGCAGTGGTTAGAACTCAGCGCTTCTGCTGCCAAGGGCATGAGTTCAATCCCTGCTGAGGGAACTAAGATCCCACAAGTCGGGTGGCCTGTGCATCAGAGGGCCCTGCACTTAGAAAAGTCTTGGACTTGGTCTAATGCTCTGTCGTCTCCATCTCAAAATTCTTAACAATTTTGAAGCATAAGGTACTGCATTTTCATATTGCACTTGGCCCTGCAAATTATGCTGCTGGTCTTGCCAGTGGGAGAAGAGAAGAGGGAGAGAAAAAAGAAACAAGTGATGAAAGAAAGAGAAAAAAGGCTACACTTCAAAAAATCACGTATATAGATGATTGTACATGATTTTATATAGACTCCATCTATATGAGATTAGGTACAGAGGTAGGTATGCAGAAAAATTAGAAAATATAACAATATAAGTGGGTATTTTGTACTGCTTGCCTAAAACAGAAAGGAATTGTAAAAATAAGTACACTAAAAATAAATCCACATTAGGGACTCCCCTGGTGGTCCAGTGGTTAATGCTCCATGCTTCCAATGCAGAATGTGTGGGTTTGATCGCTGGTCAGGGAATTAAGATCCCACATGCTGCACAGTGTGGCCAAAAAATAAAAATTAATAAAGACATATTCTCCCCCATAAATAAAAATAAAGCCACATTATAAATGTTGAAAGACACATCATCATCAAATAGAGACTCTTTGAGGAGATAGCAAGAATGACAGAGCACTGAAAATAAAATAATTGAAAACTTTTCTTGCTAAGTAGCTCAGGGTTATTTAATGCTCAGTTCATTTACCACCTGAAACTCTCCTGTGTGTGTGTGTTAATTGTTCAGTCATGTCCAACTCTTTGTGACCCCGTGGACTGTAGCCCATCAGGCTCTCTGTCCACGGGGATTCTCCAGGCAAGAATATTGGAGTGGGTTGCCATTCCCTTTTCCAGGGGATCTTCCCAACCCAGGGATCAAACCCAGGTCTCCTGCATTGCAGACAGATTCTTTACTCTCTGAGCCATCAGGGATGCCTCAAATTGTCGTGTATACCCAGAAAACTGTCTTGAGTTAAGCCCACATTCTGGAAACTTATGGACCAAGAGGGATAAGGAAAGTAAGGGAGGGTTTCCCAGTGAGAGAGGAAAGAAGCTGAGAGAGCTACCTCCGGCCCAGGAAGGTGGCAGCTTTTTTAGGCTGGTCCCAAGCAGAGTGGGGCAGGATGTTGCCTGGGGTGGCAAGAGGAAGATGCCAGGGGAGGATGAAGTGAAGGAGACAGAGGACAGGGAAAATGAAAGCACTGCAGAGCCACCTTTCCTGGAGCCCAAGAAAATGGGCCACTTCTCCCCTTCCTGGGTCACCCAGGCCCGTGGGATTTCCCCTTGGCTTCCGGGAAATGAGAGACACAGGGAGGGAGGAGGTACAGACACTGAAGGAAAGTGGGGTGTTTTCCCAGCCGATGCCCCAGCTGGCCAGCCCAGTGTCAGAACAAGGCCTGCGGGGAGAGTTTCAGGTCCCTGTAGGGGCTGGGGGAACGCAGGCCTGGCCACACCCACACACCCACGTAGGGGAGTGAGATAAACACCAGCTACTGTAGCTGAGGGAACCTGTAGCCCTGGCCCCATCAATGCCTCGAGGAACAGGTAGGTGCATGGTAGATGCACACCGAGTGGATGATGGATGGAGAGATGCTGTGGAGACACGAAAGCATGGTGGAGAGGGGCTACAAAACGTACACGAGGACTTTCCTGGTGATTCAGTGACTAAGATTCCAAGCTCCCAATGCAGGGAAACCAGGTTCGATCCCTGGTCAGGGAGCTAGGTCTCACAAGCTATAACCTGGTGCAGCCAAATAAATATTTTTTTTAAAAAAGAAGAAGAACCAGCGTAGGGAACATGGAAGGTGATTTTTGATGAAAGCATATCTTTCTTTCTTTGATATCAGTGTAAAGTGTTTGTGAGCACATGTGTCAACAGCCTTAAAAATAAAAAAACAAACCAGGCCCTTCTGATCCAGTAATTCCACTTCT